AAGGTTTTCCCTTTAGGTATATTTAAAGTAAAAGTCCAGTCAAATTCTAACTATACTTAACCATTTGAATACCGGGCAATTTTACACCTTCCTGCCCAGGCCATTTTTCAGGTTTCAGAGCTCTCACACTTTGAATGACAATTGCACGGTTATACAACATTGTACCCAAACTAAAATTTTATCATTTTCTTCACACAACTAGAGCTTTCTTTTGGTGGTATTTAATCACCGCCGGGGTTTTTATTTTTTGCTAAATTATCAAAAAAAGACCGAAAATTTTGAAAAATAAAACACGTTTTTCTTTGTTTCTGTTATAAAAGTTTGCAAATAAATAATTGTTCTTCATAAATGTAGGCCAAGATGTATTCTACTACATGTCTTTGGTGAAAATAACCCAAATTAGGATGTATTTTTTAGTTTGTAGGAAAGTTATAGAGTTCACAAACTATGGTATAGATCTGAATACCACCCGCTCCACCTCTGCCACCCCCCTCTGCCTCTCCCTCCACTGGCTCCCGATTGCCCAACGCATCAAATTTAAACTCCTTACCCTGACCTACAAAGCCGTTCACAACACTGCCCCTGACTACCTCACCAATCTGATCACCAGGTACCACCCTACCCGTACCCTTCGCTACTCACAGGACCTCCTTCTATCCTGCTCCCTGGTCTCTCCTCCTCCCATGCACGTCTGCAGGACTTCTCCAGGTCCTTCTGGAACTCACTGCCCCAATCCATCAGACTGTCGCCTTCTCTATTCACATTCAGGCGCTCCCTCAAAACCCATCTCTTCAGGAAGCCTACCCCACCCTCACCTAACGGCCATCCTCCCTCATTCCTCCTACCACTTCATCCCCCCCAGCCACTTCCTACTGTACCTTTACCCCCTCCCTCCTAGATTGTAAGCTCGTAAGAGGGCCCTCTTACCCCTCGTACGCTGTCTGTCTTTGTTGTACTGTGCCATGTATTGTCCCCCCCTATTGTACAGCGCTGAGCAAACCCTTTGGCGCTATATAAACTCGTAGTAATAATAATAATATTGATCAATCCTGAAGTACTGACGGCCAATCTAATTTCTTGAGGTCCAAGAATGTCAGAACAGTACAGATATCCCCCAAATGACACCTTTTTGCAGAGTAGGCAGTCTGACGTAACTTCATAAGAAGCATGGCGAGTTTTTTGTCATAATTTTTCGGAAAATGAAAAAATGCAAAAATTATTTTCACTATTTTTCTTTTTACATACTGTCACCAGTGCAGTACAACATCTTCATATAACTGGCATGGCGGTGATCAGGGGCACTGACTGGTGAAAGTATGAAAACATTTTTTTTTTTCATTATTTTTAATTTTTTATTAATTTTTTTTTTTCTTTTTCTTAAGATTTTTTTTTCATATTTCTCTATGTCCAAAGTAGTACAATGTTACCATAGTAACATTGTACTACTTTGGGGAAGTGATCAGTATTTTTTTTTTTTTTTTTACACAATTTTACAAAATTACTTTGCTATAAGCAAGCATTTACCTGAATGACATCGATTCATTCAGGGTTTTTTTTTTTTGTGCTTAGCTGTGATTTGGCCACAGGTAATCACATGACATGTGCATGTGATTAGCTGTGACCATTCACAGCTAGACAGTAGTATACAATGGATGGCATGAATGAAGCCATCCATTGTATACAACTGTCATGTGACCTGCTGTGATTGGTCACAGCAGGTCACATGGTACCGGCAAAAGGGCCGATACTCAGATCTGTCATCGGCCTTGTCCGAGGTACACGGCCGGTGACAGATCGTGCCGCTGCGCAGCTCTGCAAGCGCGAAAAGTGCGCATGTGTGGGAGGACACCATTTGGCGTCCAACCCAGAAATGCAGTACATTTTGCCGGCCGCCTTTTGGCTATTGGCCTGGCGTGTATTGGTTAAACCTGCTCAGATCGCGCCGCTGCGCAGCTCTGCAAGCACGAAAAGTGTGCATGTGTGGGAGGACACCATTTGGCGTCCAACCCAGAAATGCAGTACATTTTGCCGGCCGCCTTTTGGCTATTGGCCTGGCGTGTATTGGTTAAACCTGCTCCCACCCCCATTCTAAGTAATTTTAGACATCTTCCTTTTAGAGGGTAGTTAGAATAGACTTACAAATGGGGTGGGAGCAGATTTAAGTATAGTTAGTATTTGATTGGACTGCTACTTTAAAGAACCACTTTGCCCATTCAGAACAAGTTGACAGAGTCTCTTTAAAGTTCATCCCCACACCCAAAATATTAAATGTGCAAAGTCTATCACCGCCAATAATACATGGGTACCACATCCCCAAATGCTATGTAATAAAGAAGGAGTGGAGAAGAAGGGTGGGCCTTTCTAGGTACCAGTCAACAACACCGTTAAAGTAAAAAGATAATATTTTATTAGACAAAGTTAAAATTGTACATATCACACATAATGAACCAAACTGTGCTTTTCTATGACTTCATAGATAGGTCAATTGAGGTCCATCTGGAAAGGAATCTTCAGATGGAGTTTAAGAACTTGAAACCTTGAAACCTCAATGCATTTCAGCTCTTAGTAAGCCTTAATCATGAGAAAAAGAAATGGCTTGGAACAGAAGCACATATACTGTAGATAAATACCACAAAGACTACTTATACATACCCAGAAAAGGAGTATACAAAAAAAATACATAGAAAGATGCATGTCCTATATGGTAGACCTCCAACAGAGTCAGGTAAAGTGCAGAGAGGATAGACCCATTCAATTGGCATAGGAAAGAAGGACAACAAGCCAGAGAAAAAAAGATGCAATAAAAGTATTTGTAACCATTAGAAAAAAACATACGTTCATAACATGATAATATACACCTAATTGGCCGCTGTGGTCACCATGAGTGGTGAATGGAAAGACCGCGTCACTTCTGGTGTGCTGGGTGTCATATCTGGTGTGACCTGTGCACAGTCTTGGATGGAATTGCGCAGCTTTGTTGGACCAAGGCAGGCACCAGAATGCAGAAAGCTGCATTGCAAATGTCCACAAAATGGTTAAATCCCCACTAAGTGGAGACACTGGCCATCCGGGAGAGAAAAAAACAGCATGAACAGCAAAAGAAGCCCCTATTCCCAACCGGTATGGGGGCCACTTGAATGGGGCACTTGACTCCCAAATTTAAAGGGACAGGTATCAATCTGTACAACTGCCATATTACAAATACCACCATTGTACAAAAGTATCATAATATATCATTAAGAATGATCATATAATAACCATATAACACATTATGTTAGAAAGACAAAATGGCTCATCCAGAATTTCATCAATTAACCAGTAAAGATTTACATTAAGTGTTTAAATCTATCTGAAATAAAGCCATCCAAGAATGGTCTGAAACTCAAAATACTGTATCATTTAAGCCAAGCCATTGTGTGGCCTGAAGTTTGTGAATCCAGCGAGATTCTCACTGGAGAATAATCGTATTCCAGTCCCTGCCCCTGGTACCGGGGGACACCCAGTCCAAAGCCAAGAAGAGGAGACTAAGCATATGATCAATGTGTGCTTGCACCACATGTCATCCAATAGGGGAATATATATTTTCCAGTGGCATTGATGTGTTCCTTAACTCTTCTCCATAATTCCCTAATGTCTTACAATTATAAAAAGATCCACAAGGACAGGTCATCAGATAGATTACTCCCTTTGTTTGACAATTAACCAATTCCTTGGGCATGAAAATTTGGCCATTGGGTAACTTCACCTTCCCACTAGAGCCTATAAATTGGTAATAATTACATTTCTCACACGGAAAAGTTCCCCTAGGAAGTCCAGATTTTTTGGACTGACTAGAGCTAAATGTACTCAAAACCAATTTATCTTTTAGAGATGGTGCACTACGATATGTAATCAGGGGTTCAGGAGAAATAATCTGAGAAATTTTAGGGTCTGAGGTTAGCAAATGCTATTATCTCCTAATGTATTCACATACCAGGGAATGTTGATTGTTGTAGGAGGTGATCATTCTCAAAGGTTGTTCTTGATTACTAATGCCTTTTTTTAAAAAACAAATCCATGTGGGAATGTTGCAGGGCTTTGTTGTAAGCCTTCCGCAAGCAGGTTTTCGAATATCCCCATTCCAATAGATGAGTTTTCAATTCACCCGCTGCAGCTTTGAATTTATCATCACCATTACAGTTACGGTGAAGACATAACTATTGTGAATAGGGAATTTATTTAATCAAAGGTTTAGGATGAAAGCTATTCACTCTGAGAATGATATTTCTAGCTGTGGATTTGTGAAAAAGATTACTAGAAAGCAGGCAATTAGCATCAACTGCCACCTCTACATCTAAAAAGGTCACTTTCTTCTGATCATATTGCGTGTGGTGAAAGTTAGGTTATACTCATTAGTATTCAAAAATGTCAAACACTGCTGTAACTTTTCAATGAGGCCATCCCAAATTAGGAAAATGTCATCTATATATCTTAGCCTTTCACTTCTTTAACCACTTCAATTCTGGACACTTTCACCCCATTCCAGTCCAGGCCAATTTTCAGCTTTCAGCACTTTCACACTTGCCACACTATACCCATATGAAATTGTATCCTTTTTTTGAGACAGATAGAGCTTTCTTTTGGTGGTATTTGATCACCACTAAGTTTTTAATTTTTTCTATATAAATGAAAAAATACCATAAATTGTGAACAAAAATAATTTTTTTCTTAGTTTTTGTTGTAACATTTTGAAAATAGATCATTTTTCTTCATAAATTTAGGCCAAAATATATTCTGCTACATTTTGGGGGTAAGAATAACCCAAAACATTTTATATTATTTAGTCTGTGTGAAAGCTATAAAGTCTACAAAATATGGAATATATATTTGAAAATTGATTAGTTGAGATCCTAAAATGCCAGATGCTGGTATGGCACATGGCAGTGATCAGGATGCTGGTATGGGGTATAGTGATGATCAAGACATTAGTATGAGGTATTGCGGTGATCAAAAAATGCTGGTATGGCAGTAGCCAGGATGCTGTTATGGGGTAGAGGGGTGATCAGGATGCTGGTATGGGGTATGGTGGTGATCAGGATGCTGGTATATGGTATGGCAGTGATCAAAACGCTGGTGCGAGGTATGACAGTGATCAGAATGCTGATATGGGGTATGGGGGTGATCAGGGTGCAGGTATGGGGTATGATGGTGATTGGGATGCTGGTATGGGGTATGGCAGTGATCATGACACTGGCATGGGGTATAGTGGTGATCAGGATTCTGGTATGGCATATGGGGTGATCAGGATGCTGATATAGGGTATGGCAGTGATCAGGATACTGGTATGGGGTATGGTGGTGATCAGGATGCTGGTATGGGGTATGGCAGTAATCAGGGTGTTGGTATGGTATATGGTGGTGATCAGGGTGCTGGTATGGTGTATGGAGGTGATCAGGGAGCTGGTATGGTGTATGGAGGAGATCAGGGTTCTGGTATGGCATTTGGCAGTTACCAGGGTGTTAGTTTGGGGTATGGCAGTGATCAGGACACTGGTATGGTGGTGATGCCTATAGGTTTATATGTCATTGGTTAAAGTGTCATTAAATCCACATCATAAAAATTCTATCAATAAATGCTGTATAAATGCTCACTCATTCACTATGGGGTTCATTTTCTTTATTCTACAGAAAAGCTGGTTGATTCTGATGTTTTTTGTCTCCCCCTTCTGTTCATGTCCCCAATGCAGTTGATGATTTTGCAGCACAGTATTGGAAGATACTGCACAATAGTTACACATGTGAGCGTATACCCAGACCACTCCCACCCTCCATGCCCACTAACCAGCTAAACACAATACGGGTGGGATATTACTTCTTGATTGATAGAGGCTTCACCTCCATGGTATTCTAAGACACAGGCTGAAGGGGCAAGACACACCCTGTGACTGGAGGAAATCCCCCAGTTATTTAGAAAATAAATAATAATAATAATTTGATTTCAATTATATATTTGTATGATGATTTACAACAGTTTTGTTGATATTAATTAATATTAATTAGAATATTGATAGAATAATTAATAGAATAGAAGCTGCTCCTTTTCCCTGCAGACAGGGTGGGAAAGAGCTGGATCATGTAACAGCTGTATATCAACTAGGAAAAAAGTAACTCAATGTTTTTTTAATTACTATGTGTATGTTTAGTATCATGTTAATGATTAATCTCAGTGCAGTAAATCTAAAAACACTAAAACCAACTGTCCACCTGTGAGCCAATACAGTGAATTATCTGCAAACATTTACGAAAAATATTCAATCAACATATATTAAATCAAAAAAAAAAATTTTTTAGGTTCGCAAACACTTCACACCAACTCATACAATAGTGTCAACCAATATATAGATAAATATCGTGCTGTGCTCCTCTATTATTTTCATCAAAGACACATTGATTACGTGTAAAAACTCCACAGTGGAGTTTGCTGGAGTAATTCTGGAGGATTGTTCCCCTGGAGGGGAGAAGGAGGGAAGATTCATCCAACCATCCACACACCCATAGATCCATACAAGATAATGAGGAGAGGAGTGACACCAGGTTAACCAGGAAAACTGCAGTTTGGGGAGATTGTTTGAAGGTGATAAGCAGCCAAGCATACTTCATCCTTTTTATAGGATAAACTGCGTGATTTAGCCTGTTGAGGCTGGAGATGGAGGTGAGCGCATGATAGAGCTGTATTTATTGGAACCTGGAGTGTATTCATCTAATTAGCACAGATTTCTCAAAAAGAAAGAGGACTCTTATGTATCAGTCTCTGGATATACAATGATACATTTATTTCCATAGTATAAAGGGATTGTATAAGCACAGTGGACATTTGTTTTTTTCACATTTTGTTTTTTTCACACTTTATTTATATTAGATTTTATTTTTGTTTATTTTTTACACATAATCAATGTGTCTTTGATGATAATAATAGAGGAGCGCAGCACAATATTTATCTATAAATCTAAAAACACTGCCAGAGTTGACAGGCTGATACATTTTCACTTTTTATTTACGTTTTCACTTGTTATATATCAAAATGAAACCACAGTCTATAGACTACACCCACTTTTAACCACACCTACATAAAATCATGCCTGTATTTGTAACCACACCATAAAATCACAGCTCCATATTTAACATGCCCTTAAACAACTGGCTACAACTTTTGGAATAAGAAGCAGACATTCAGGGTATAATGGAAAAATATATAGAAGCATAATTAAAATAAATACCTTATGGGCAGGGCTTTTTTTCTTAAAAAATAGGTGCACGAGCTTTCCCAATATGGGTCACCTCTTGTCTCCGCTCCCCCACCCACCCACCCACCTCTGAGCACCATCACTTGGTGTCATCCCCTACCCACCTCCCAGTACCACTCCTTTCAGGGAATACAGAACCAAGTATAATTTTATTATAATTTTTATAAATAATTTGTATAGAATTTGTTAATGATAACAAGAAAAGCAGAACAATAGATCCCCCACAGCCAGCAGTAATAACACCCCCCCCCCCCCCACCAGCAACAATAAATTCTTCCAGCAACAATGGACCCTCAAAACAAAATACCACCCAGCAACAATAGACCCCCAGCAGCTACAACAAATTTCCCAGCAGTCAGAATTTATATACTCGCCTACAACCAGCAATAATATACCTCTCCCTCAACAGTAGATTCTTTCCATTGACCCCCATTAACAATAGATCCCCCACCAGCAACAACAGACCTCACCAGCAGCAATACATCCCCTTAAGTGACAATATATCCCACAGCAGCCAGCAGCAATAGATCCTCCAGCACACCCTAGAACCCATTGCCATTACAAACATTCAGTGCTGGAAGTGCCAGATCTGCGTTCCTACTTTAAAAAAGCCCTACTTAAAGGTATTAAGAGAAAAAATGCATGCTGACTGCTGAACACCACTATTTAACTGCTGGATGCCTGGGTTTGCAATATTACTATAGGGACTAACAAATATGGGGAATAAAGCATACAGTATAAACAAAAACAGTTTTTCCTGGAACCATAACCAAAATAGTCAGATAATGAGCACTTTGGACAGGAGTATGTAATAAAAGTGTAGCATGCAGAGTGCACACTCTAAAAAATAATGTTTTGGCTCAACAAAAAAAATTAACGCAACAGTTTGCATCAAGCTTTTTAAGTTATGACAATGTCTGGTGAAATTAAGTTGAAGCAACAAACTACATTGCATTGAGGTAATTAGCTTTTCTGATAGAAATGAATGCATTTTTATTTACCGCCAACTTAATTACTGGCATTATAAACACATGTTTTTAAGTTGAGTACTTAAACATATTAAGTTAATTCAAATAGTTTTTCCAGTTTTTATAAGAAACCTTCAAGTCACGTGTACTTAATTGCTACAATTATGAGCAAGTTTTTTAAAGTTAAAAAGCAGTTAAAAATCAAGTTGATCCAAATTGATTTTCTGTATTAGTTTTTAGCTTTGTTTTTTTTATACTAGCTTTCAAAAATGAATTAATCAGTTTAGGCTTACACTAGAATGTGTTGCAGAAACCCCCAATCTGTGTGCTTTTCGCGCACCACATTCAAATCGCACTACCCTTGCAGTCTGCAGTGGATGTCAGTGTTGCAAACACAGTGCATTTGCCGGCACCAGATTGCATGGTACAAAACAAAACATGCAATCTGGTTGCACTGAGGTTCACAAATTGGTGCATGCATGTCTTTGGTGCGATGTGGTGTGATTTGAGCTCATTCAAAATGAATGGGCTCAAATTGCATTACACTGAACCACATGTGAATTGCACAGGAATGTGTTGCAGTTCCTTTGTGATTCACATGCACTTCATTGTGTGAACCAAGGCCCAACAATCCAATTGTTAAACAATTGACATTTTTTGCACACCAAAATCAAATCCTTAAAGTTGTACTGATGAATGAGTAAGCACTTTGCATTAAGATTTTTTTAATATTGTCTGTCTGGTGCAGAAACTGTTTCTCTACAAGACCTTTGCTATATTGTGCAACAAATTGTGGCAATATAGTGAAGCTATTGGAGGATATTGAAAGTTGATATTTTGTGAGCTTTCTTACAATTTGCTATATTCTTTCCGCATTACCCTGCGACAACCATTTTGTGAACTGAAATAAAAGTGAAAAATGTCATCTGAGTATGACTGTGCTATGGAACACATACGTTCTTCAGAGAATACTGTACTTGAGACCCATTACTTTAGCACTGGCTTTCAGTCCATCAAGTTCAAGGAACAGTTTTTGAAACAACTGAGACTTGATTTGTGTTAAGTGAATTGGGGGTGGAGACTTGCAATGCAGCTCTCAATGTAGAGCAAAATGAAGTTACCAAGTCAAATTTATTAAGGTACCTTAACTTAAATTTCATTGTACAACAATGAATGCAGAAATGTAACTGTACATGACACACAATATTAAGTTGATGTAATTTCCAACATTATCATTTCAACACAACTCATGAAAGTAGGCTTTTAAATGAAAAAGTTTATTTAAACCAATAAATTAGGATTTTTATCTTGGAAATACACATTTAATTAAGTGGTGGTAACAGGTTATTTTTTAGAGTGCAGGAGCCAGGAGTCAATAATGTACAGATTGCAGTGGTAAGGAGTATGTCATGTACAGCCAAGTGTACAGAGTGCTGTAATCAGAAGTATGTAACATGCAGAACAAATTCTATCAACATGTAACATACAGCAATAGGAGCTATGTACCTTTCAGCTTCCATCTGACTCAGACAGAGGTTGTGCCCACATACCTTTCAAAGTCAGCACTTAAGGGTGTGCACATAGATGAGAAAAACCTTTAAGCCACAATATGTTAATGCATAGCACAAAGCTGGAGTGCTACATATAGATGAAAAAATCCTTCAGCCAACATTATATTCTTCACTCAGCACAAAATTAGATAACCAGAACATATATCATTCTTCCCTTCCGCAGTAGGTATCAATGGTCACAGAATATATTCTGCTTTATAATGCCCAATATCCCATACTTGTTCCATACAGCAAGCAGCTCAGTAGAGCACATAGGTCTAATGTAAAGTTCTAGAACCCATTGATAAGTGTCACTCTCCAAAGGCTAGTTGGTTGTGGGCAGAACCTTACAATATCCCTACAATAAGGTAAAAACATATCCCAGTAGTTTTTATCACACACACACCCTGCCAAAATACGTACGTGAGTCCCTTTGTGATCCAGCAATGTGCTCATATGCATCAGCATTCTCCTTGCTCTCTCAGGACACAGAATGGCCAATGGCTCCTGCTGCTGTCAATCAACTCCTGTGAGAAGAGAGCACAGAGTGGGGCTGAGCCACACTGTGTGTGTCTATGGATGCACACCGCCCGGCTCAGGTGAACACCTGCATGAGT